ACGCACAAAAAAAAATCGCGCCCCTGCTGAAGCCAGTCTTTCGTGCATTTGGTCAGAGTCATTGTACCACTAATAGCAGTTGTCAGCCATGCCCTCCGAGGCTGGTCCTGCAGACACCCTTACCCTTACGTGTGCCTACAACCATGCCTGATGGAAAGGCATTGATTCTCGGGACCAAGGGAAACACAACAGGGAGGGTGTTAAGGCAGTCACTCCCAGAGTTAGGCAGACCTGGCAGAACTCAGTAGGACACTCGGGGATTTGATGGAAGGTACACAGGAGCTGTGGGAGTAACTGGCTCAGGACTCCTGATACTGAAATCCCAGCACTCGGGCCCATATTACCCACAAAGCTTTCTGCCTCCGTGGTTGATAGACATAAATCCTAGAAGGTGTATAATGCTAACCTTTATTTTTATTTTATTTTATTTTAGAGGGATTTTTACTACAGGACATGTGTGCTCACCCAAGAGACAAAGAGAGAGAGATCAAAAGTGAGAAATCACCCCCTAGGGGAGATGGCCATGCTACAGTCCCTTCTCCATTCTCCTCGTGGGATTGTGGGCACACATGCACGTGTGCCCGGCATGAGTTTTAAGCTACCAGGTTCAGGATTCGAACCATGGTTGACTACATGGAAGTCCAGTGGTGTAACTATTACACCATCTGCTGGTTCCAAATTTTTTTTTAAATTATTTCTTTCATGAGAGGGACAGAGAGACTGAGAGACAAACTAGAAAATTTAGCATTATACACCTTTTATTGGGTTGTCAGGAAACTCATGATGCATTTTTGAATGGAAAAATACATCATGACTTTCCCAAAAACCTAGTAGTTTGCAAGATTCCTAAAAAAAAAAATCTCAGATGAATTTAAGTGAAATAAGAATCACAGGCATTGGGGCCAAAGTGGCATGGTGGTTGAGGCACTGAACACTCACATGGTTGACCATGGTTCGAGTCCTGGACTTGGAGGCTTTACAACTACACCTGCCACATGTGCATGCATGCCCAAAATTCCAGGAGGAGAATGGAGAAGGGACTGCGGCGTGGCCACCCCCTCTTGGTGTGGGGAGATTTCCTACTTTCCCTTTCACTGCAGCTATGGCAGAAACCTAAAAAGAAGAAAAGAAAGATAGACTCACAGGCATTTCAGGTTCCCAAAGGCCTGACGTCCACAAAAACTCAGTGTTGGGGGAGGAGGAATGGCTTGAAGAGGAGGCTGTCATGACAGGAACCACTGGCATGGTGAATTTGCCCCAAGGATGAGCGGTGTAAGAACGAGGGTGGGAGAGCAGTGGATGCTCAGAAAAGGCCCGAGGTCATCTGTTTTGTTGATCTCCAGGTCCTTACCAGAAGCCATGTGGAATTAGGTGGAGAAAGCCCCTCCCAGTAGACTTCTGTTTCTCCCAACCAAGAACTCCTCAGTTTTCCCCCCAGCCAGAGCTAAAAACAGTGTCTGCCGACTTACTCCCCAAGCTCCTTATTCTCAATGTGTCAGAGACTCTAGTTTGTAAGTAGGTTGAGCATCCCTAATCCAAATATTTAGTATGCTCCAAAATCTAAAACGTGTGGAGTGCCAACGTGACACCGCAAGTGGAAATTCCACCCCTGACTTCATGCAGTGGGTGACAATCAAAGCACTGCTATACGACAGTATCACATAAAGTTACTGTCAGGCTATGTGTATAAGATATATATGAAATCTAAATGAAGTTTCTGTTTAGACTTGGGTCTTAGGCTGGTCCCGTGACCTGGTGGTTGAGGGAGCCAGATCCCACATGGCCAGCCATCATTGGAATCCCCACCCCAGGGGCTTGAAAAAATATAGTGGAGAGCCAGCAGGTGGCGTGGTGGTTAAGGGTGCTGGATTCCCATATGGCTAACCACGGTTCAAGTTCTGGCCCTGGCGGCTTGCTTTCTCACTTTCTCTCTCTCTCTCTCTCTCTCTCTCTCTCTCTGTCCCTCCCTGGTCAAATTAAAAAATAAAATAAAATAATTCTAAAAACAAAAACAAAAACACAAAATAACAAAACAAAAACAGAAAACACATACTGGGCATGTAGACATGCATGTACAAAATCCTAACAGGATGGAGAAACAAAAACACAAACTGGGCATGTAGATGTGCATGTACAAAATCCTAACAGGATGGAGAAATGGAGAAGGGATTGCAGTGTGACCACAACCCATTGGGGGTGCTTTCTCCCTCTCCCTTTCTCTGTCTCTGACGAATTCAGGCACTCTCTGACAATATAATATGTACATATATATACGTATGTGTATACAGCATCACAAACACACTCACATATCCCTAAGATGGGCCCCATCCCCAAGATGACCTCTCATTGCTTATATTCAAATATCCAAAATCTGAAAAACAAAAAATACAAAATTCAAGATATTTCTGGTCCAAGCATTTCAGACTAAAGGATACTCCATCTGTATAGAGGCATAGCTGACCCAAAAGGTTGCCTCCAACATGTGACAGCCAGTACTACCACGCCTTTTAAACTTTCACCTACTGCTGAATGACCGTTGGCAATGTACTAAAGCTCTCTAAGCCTTGGTACAGTTGGCTTTAACATGGAGATGGAAATAATGCCACCCTCATAGAGTGGTTACAAGAAATGCATGAGACTTTGCACTGAAGCTCTTAGAACAGCGGCTGGCACCTATGAGTGGCTCAAAAAATAATGACTCTAGCCCAAGTTCCCCCAGAAGTAAAGCAGCAGGAACATTAGCCCTGCATGATGGGTAAGGAGAAAGAGAAGCAACCTGTTACTTAAGTGAAAGCCAAGGCAGGCCCAGTGTCAGGTACGACTTGATTCGGGGACTCAAGTGATATTGCAGGCCCTGCTTCTGTCTCCATCCCTTTCCCACAGACGCGAGGTAGTTTCGGCAGTACCAGACCTTCCATCCCTATAGACACGCAGTGCAGGAGGGCATCTGTCCATCCTCCCGTAAGTCCAGTCAGAGTCTCGGGCACCTCATTGACTCTGGGTGGATCATAGCACATTCCCTGGGCCCACCACTGAAGCAGAGGATTGTGAGCAGGGATTGCCTTAGGCCACCTCCGGAACTGGGGCAGGGTCAGCATTACTGAGACCAGATTGCAAATGTGGGTAGGGGAGGGGAGAGTCACCTCTCAGAGAGATCTTAATGTTGCCAGGAGGAGAGCCAACAGCTGCAGAGTGGAAGCTGCGGGTGCACCCTGTCATCTGCCCAGTTTAAGGGGCAGAGGGATGCGTTTATCTCCCATTGGTTACTGCTGGCTGCCTAGGCAGGGATGTGGCTCCACTGCCACAGATCCGCCAGTAGTCTATGTGAGGGATCTTCAAAGTGTTCATGGAAACGGTGTATCATGAAAAAAAAAATGCCTAGATTTCAGATGTTTTTGTACCTAAAATAAATGTGTACTTGAATTCCGTTTCCCCATGAACCCCTTGAAGTCCCCTCGTATACCCTCAACAAGTGACAGTCATTGCTAAGTGTTCACAGGAAAAGGTAGTTCAAGAACTATCGGGATGTAAGTAGTGGACCAGAATTCACGGAACTCAGCAACCACCAATAATGGATTTAATAGACCTGTCAGTTGGCAAAAATAAATCTAAAAATGAGTTAAACTGAGACTATTTCTTATTATTGTCGGGGAAAACTGTGGGGAAGTGCACATTCCTTAAGAATGGAGTAAACGTCATCCTCCCTTCCCAGGCCCCCCGGTCTAGACTTTGACACAGACATGACTCGTCCCCACAGACCATCTGGTGCTGTTGCTGTCCCCAGCTGCTCACCCTGTGACCTGGCCTAACCTGTGTGAGACAATCATGGGGTCTGTGCAGAGTCCCTACCATGGGCACTGAATGGCCGAGGTGCTTTACACACGTGTTCTCGTCATGACTGACATTTATCCGCATTCACGGAGGAGGGCCCAGAGGCTCAAAGAAGGTCCAGGCTACCATCTCATTGTCCTCATCTTTGTCCACCGCCCTGCCAGGTGCCCACACCCCAGACGTGCCCTCTGCCCCTCTAGTCTCATGCAGGCTGACTCCCTGACGCATGGCTGTCCCATCTGCATCTCGTCGGACTTCCTGCCATGGGACTGCCTGCTGGCATCTTTTCTTGTCTCTGAACCCTTGTCCTAGGAGAAGGTGTGCAACGTGAGACCCTGCCCATATTTCACCGTATTTTCTTCCTCCCACGCAGACTCCCCCAGAAAGTCTGTCTCCTAAGACGGAGTCATCCACTCCACAGACGCTCACAGCGCCTCCAGGGGATCTGAGGACAAGGTTCAGCACCAGAGTGCTGAGGCGCTCAGGGATGGATGAGCCATCTCCCCCAAACTACATACCTTCTTTATCCTCTCCCCCAAAACAGCACCCAGACCTTCTGACCTAACCCTCTGACAATCACTGTCTAAAACATCACTCTGCTCAGGGGTCATCTCAGGCTTTGAGCCCCCGAGCGGGGACAAGATTATTCCCATCCTGAGACTGAGACCCTGCTGCTCCCTGCTCTGTGTTCACAGGTGACTGCTGGCTGCTGGCAGCCATTGCCTCCCTCACCCTGAATGAAGAAATCCTGGCCCGCGTCGTCCCCCTAGAGCAGAGCTTCCAGGAGAACTACGCAGGGATCTTCCATTTCCAGGTGAGTGTGCAGTTGGCCCAAGCTCCTCCTCACCAGGTCCCGGAGACTGGGAACTGTCCCCCAGCTTGGCGGGACTCATCATTCCCTCCTAGGACCAATGCTGTCCTGCAGAGCACAACAAGAAGAGCCTGCCCACAGCAGGGGGCCCTGCCACAACAGCCATAGCAGGGCGGGGGCTCTTGGGACATGAGGGAGGTAGAGCAGGGTGCTCAGGAAGTAATTCCCACATTTTCTTATTATTTTCTTTTCATGTTTTGTAGCTTGCTATAGGGCATGTGTGCTTGCTGGAGAGGGATAGAGAGAAAGTGAGAAATCACCTCCCAGAGGGCTTTGATAGCCACGCTGCAATCGCTTCTCCTTCATTCTCCTCTTGGGACTTTAGAAATGCACGCACATATACCAGCATGATTTTCAAGCCACCAGGACTCAAACTGCTTAGTGGGCCATGTGGGATCCAGCACCTTAACCTCCGTACCACCTGCTAGCCCAGTAATTCCCACACTGCAAAAGAAAAATGTATTATTTGAAGTTGGAGGCACAGTATTAAAGTCTCCTCCTTTAATGTTGGTAAATGAGAATAATATTTTAAAAGCAGAAGGTACAGGACAGAACGCCAAAGAGGTGGGTGTGGATTTGGAGGGATGGACTGTCCTTGCTTTCTTCGGGAGGACTTGCCTGCAGTAGGAGGGTCAAAGGGGCGTCTCCTCCCACAGCCCACCCCACACCATCCCTGTTCCTCCCCTTGCCCTGCAGTTCTGGCAGTATGGCGAGTGGGTGGAGGTGGTGGTGGACGACAGGCTGCCCACCAAGGACGGGGAGCTGCTCTTCGTGCATTCGGCCGAGGGGAGCGAGTTCTGGAGCGCCCTGCTGGAGAAGGCCTATGCCAAGTAAGTGGCCCCACTCCGCCCCCAGGCCTGTCCCACCTGGCTTCTGAAAAGACAAGAACTGCTCAAGGACTACTTCAGGCAGAAGGCCTATTCTATGATAGGAGTACTTTGGCCCAAATTAGGGTCTACGTTCAAGAACAGTCATGCAGCGTGCCTAGCACATCAGGCACTGACAAATGACAGCTCTTGCCATGTTTAACCAAATGCACAGGAACACGTTCTGGTGTTGACTGTGCTGGCTTCATTGGCAGATCATATTACATTTTTTTGAAGTTATGAAATGTATTCTTTCTTTCTTCCACAAAAGAGAGGGGGTACCCTCAACGAGGTCTTCATGTCATGATCCACTGCCAGCCTCGGCCACATCACAAGTGCATGCACACATGCACGTCCAGCACCTACGAGAGACCCTGAGACACCAACCCAGGACCCTCCACGTGGGTCCAGCCTCACAGTGTTGCACTGCCGCTTTGCCACTGGCTGGGGGGGCG